CAAACTATCTATTTGCCATCCGTAGGAGCCTTTGCTTTAGCTAAAATTCAACAAACTTCATGATGAACTTTGGAAGAGAAAGTAAAAAGAACTAGGGTCATATAACATAGAACTTTCACAAAATCCTACTCGAGATTAGATAGGAAATGTAACTCTTACTTCAAATGGAAATAAACACGACATCCCATTCAAAAAGCATAAGGAAACTCAACTAATATTGTGAAGTCCCCCAGTAAATCTTGATGGTAACAACCCTCGAAGTGTCTAACATGTTTGTTAGTTGTTTTGCAGAAATTACATTTTGATGCTATAATGAAATTAGTCCTTGATGTCATATTTTGAGTTTATCTGGATAGGTTTTGCGAAAATGTTGAGAATAAGAAGAATTTACTGTTTGTGTAGAATTAGTTATGCAGGCTCTACGTATTATAGAGCCATACTGTCCGAAGATGGTATTTAAACGATGATGTTTTCGGTAATGTATGTGAGTTCAAGTTTTGGGAAGTCTTATATGATCTGTTCTTGATATAACTCTCGTGAGTCCAACATGCTTTAATTTAACCCACATTATTATCGCGACTGCCCTTTTCTTGGACAATGGAAACGGCGTCTGTCTGGATGTGCTAAGTCTAAGTTTGGGACTTAATTCGGGCTCTCTCAAGCCCATATCATATCGCGACTTGTGGTTTAGGTTTTTGACCTGCAAATGATTTTTATCTAGGAGTCGCTACTAACCAGTTTATGGTGGGTCAATTAGATACCCAAGTAAGGCAATAAGTAAGGTAGTGGGAGAATTGCCTTACTTCTACAAACCAGAGATTAAATGAGTTTGGGGACTTAGTTACACTAGTTGAGTAACTAGTACATTTCATCCTATTCATTTCAGAAAATATTTATCAGGCAGTTTAGATTGATTTAAGATCTATCTCATAACCTGTGAGGTGATCAGACGAGTGCACAATCATTAAATTAACGATAAGCAGCCTAAGGTTCTAATCATAACTAGGGCGACGACATTTAACACATGACAATTTATGCAATCATATATTAATTAAAAATAACACGCATAATAATAATACAGCAGTAGTAAAAATAACCTCTAAAATCCTACTGATAGCCTTATAGACTTATCCAATTTAGACATAATTATTAATCAAATAATTCATGTAATTTAGAAAATTATTCAAAAATACTAATTTCTAAACTATTTCCTAATTATAAAAAAATTGATTTTTTTATTTTTTAAAAATAATATTTTTATGGGTTAATACCACGAAAAACCCTAAACTGGTACACATATGACAATTTTACTCCAAACTAATTTTTTGATTGCGAAAAACCCTAAATTAGTACACTCGTGACAATTTTATCCCAAACTAATTTTTTTACCACGAAAAGCTCCAAACTGGTACACTCGTGACAATTTTACTCCAAACTAATTTTTTAACCACAGAAAACCCCAAATTGGTACACCTGTAATAATTTTATCCCAAACTAATTTTTTTACCATGAAAAACTTCAAACCGGTATACATGTGATAAATTTACCCTCCGTTAATTTCCATCAAATTTTACCATTAAGTTTGTTGATGTGGATGACACATGGTGACGTGGCAAGTCCACGTGGAAATCCATAGGGTAAATACCACGAAAAACCCCAAACTGGTCCACTAACGGAGGTTAAATTTATCACAAAATTACTAGTGTAGGGTTTGGTGATCAAAAAAATTAGTTTGGGGTAAATTTGTCACATATATACTAGTTTGTGGTTTTTTGTGGAAAAAAAATTAGTTTGGGGGTAAATTTGTCACTGGTGTACTAGTTTAGGGTTTTTAGTGATCAAAAAATTAGTTTGGAGTAAATTGGTCACAGGTGTATCAATTTGGGATTTTTCATGGTCAAAAAATTAGTTTTTTGTAAATTTGTCACAAGTGTACCAATTTACGGTTTTTCGTAGCATTAACCCTATTTTTAATTTTAAAAAATAATATAATATTAAATCGGGTCGGGTTGGCGGATCTGGATCGGAACAGAACCAACCTGAGTCAACGGACCCGACCCATATGAGTTGACTGGTGGTAAGGGACAAATTAGGGCCGGTTCAACCCGATTGAGCCGGCCCTGAATGGCCTGCAGACCGGTCTGATCGGGTCTTCAAGCTCGGCTTAGGCCGACTCCTGCGTGCACAGGCATATGAGAATGCCGGCCAAGCGAGATCCGGCGTCGACCGGCCATCTCGCCCGGCCATTGGCCTTGCTTGCCTCGGCACTTGGGGCCGGGGCAACTCCTATCTAACCAGCCATAATGGTCGATGATCGAGCTCCGACCGGGGCTCTTCGAGCCCAAACGTTGATCGGAGCTTGGCCAGCGGACCCAGGCCAATTTTTGGCCTTCCTTAGTCTCACCCAGCCACCACACGGCCAGGAATGGCCTCACGACTCCTCGGCCGAGACTCAACTAAATTCGACTTCACATAGGCATTTCGTCGAACAACTGGAGTTCATGGCCAAAAAAGGGAACTCCAACCTGTTTAGGGGCTCCAGTCTCCTCCGACTACCAAGACTTGCCTTCGACGGTGACGTAGGGACTATAGGGAGGATCCGCATGGATCGGGATTTGTGTGAAACGGCCGGCGCGAGTCCTGGCCAACCGGTGAACTAGAACAGGGGAAAACAAGGGCCGAGAAGACTTACCGGTTTGGGACTTCGTCTTGGTGGACCGTTGACGACGTAGCCTCAACGGGAAAGCTCCCGTGGCTTCATCCTTCCACCTATAAGCAAAAGTCTCGATCTTTTTCACTCAATCACTCTCAAACTCTCTTAAAATCTCTCTGTTTCTCTCTGCTCTATTTTAGGCCGACCTTCTCTCTCTTCTTCTCTAGTCTTTTATGGCCAAAGGCCACTTGCTTCTGCTTCATTAACTCACCCTAATGTGGAGTTAGAAGCTACTAGCCTAATGTCTGTTTTGTAGTTTCAAAGTGCAGTTAGAAACGTGCATTTGATGTTTCTGGTATTGTAGGTCCATTTGCGTGGGTTCGGTATGTTCCAGGTGAACCCATACTTCCAAACAGGCCCAACGAAGGAAGCGTCAAGAGGAGGAAGGATTATAATCGCACGAAGCAGCACCATGCCTTTATAACGGTGCGTGCTCATTCAAATTTTATAGCTGCTTCTAGAACTTCCCTTAGAATCTATTGATGAGCTCGACAATGTCTATCTAAGATCGAAGGAATTGCGTTTATGATATCTCTGAGATTCGTTTTTTCGCTTGCATATGCTAATGGATGATACTTTTACTCTTCTCTGGAAGATTAGAACATTTTGCTTGGGTGTGATTGATGGTTTTGTAGCTAACATTACCTCAATTCTTGAGAAGCGTCATCTGTTTAAATCTAGATCCTTAGAAGGGCCCTGACTATTTGGATGAAGTGTTCTCTTTCTGCGTTGTCATTTGTGCCCGGATTTAAATTAATCAGGTCTTTGCTAAAATCGTGTCATGTAACATTGATATGTATGCCCAACTTGCATTGAGCATTTTAATTTAATTTAGTAATTAGTTCCTTTGATTTTTTGTAATCAATGACTATTATAACAATCGACGTGCTTGGTGATTAATCGTGTTTGTGGCAAGATGGATGAAATCACTTGATGTGATAGCAAGAAGTCCTATTCGAGGTCAACCTACACTTCCTCCAATTGAAACCTCTTTAACTAAATGGGTCACGTCGACTTGATTAACAATCTAACTAATTTTGTTTGTTTGATCTGATTTACTCAGACTTCATTATATTTTATATTTTAGTAGATTGGGAAAAAGAGATTTACCAATTAATAGGGAGCTTCAGATTAACCTCATTTCTTAATTCTGTGTAAATTGGGCTAGGTTTTTTTTTTTTTTAAGAGATCTACTTTGTAGTGTGGACTTCTATTATCCTTATGAGGAGCAAGCAAATCGTTCTTCGTTGAAGATATAACACCATTTGTCTGGTTGCAGCATTTCTAGCATAATACTTTTCATATTTTCTGCCTTGAGATTAAAGTATATGAATGATAAGATGAGATTGTCAATTATTTGGGATAGTAAAACAATGTAATGACAGTACCATTGGCAAATAGAACTATAAAGCGTATTAGAATATTAATCCTTTTTTATCTATAAAAAGGGTGAATAGGGTGACCAGTTCTAAGTAGGAACATTTTCTACATGAGATATGCCGTAGTTAGGCAATGCAACACGAACAGTTCATATATTCGCTCCCGAGGTGAATTGAACTCCTGACCTATGAAAGATAGGTGAACCCTTTATTACTTAGTCAATCACCATGCTCGGTCAAAAATTCAACCCCATCGGGTGCTCCATTCTCTCTCATCATGAAGAGCTCTCCTCTGCCCTTTGGTGGTAGGTCTCCTAAACCCTAATCCCTGTATCCCACAACGCAAATCAGCCCCTTCTGAATCCCCTGATACGGTCGCTTCTCTCCACATTAGTGGCTCCTTCACAACAAAGAGAGTGGAAGTATGTTGAATCCCTACAACCCCTAAACCCTAATCGTTTCCTAAAGCCCAAAACCCGGTAATGATGCCTGAACCACTCTTCCTGCCCCTAACCTCTGGAGCACTACCAGTGAGGGTAAGGTGAAGGTGTTTTATGGTCGGCGTCTCGTCCAACAAAATTCTCAGTTGAAGTCCAAATCGGAATGCTATGCAGTTCTCCTGATCGCTCTGCGTTGGGTCTTTCATACTTGAATCGATTACATCTAGTCTCGGGTAAGTCTTTCTGTATGCTCTGTTTTTGCTTTGGAAAGTGATCATGGAGAGGGAGGAGGAATCAGAAAGTCGAATGGCAGTACTCAGCAAACGATTAGGCAGGCTTTGGTCAAGAACATAAGTTATTGCAATGGATGATGCGGTTCCTACAAGCAAAATCAGAGAATGTAGACTTACCCTCGTTGGCAAGCTGTTTCAAAACCCAAAGATAAACTTTCTAGCATTCCAAAGCACAATGAGGAGAGCATGGAGACTTGAGAATGTAACCTTCTTCCCTTTGGAATCTGGAATTTATGCCATTACCTTCATAACTGAGAAAGAACTTTTGAGGGTGTTTGAAACTGGTCCTTGGTCCTTCTCGAGCCATCTATTGATTCTCAAAAAATGGGAATCAGATATGCCTCCACACCGATATGAGTTTGATACGTGTCCTTTTTGGGTGCAAATCCACGGACTTCCTTTTGAATGGCTTACAGAAGAAGTCATTCTAAGAGCTGTTAAAAGTCTAGGTCTGGTTATAGATATGAAGGTAGATGCGAAGGGTGTTGTAGCTAACAAAATTGGGAAGGCGAAAGTCCTCTTAGATGTGAAAACCCCTTTAAAATCTGGATTTATTGCTTGTAAGGGAGGGAAAAAGCTCTGGTTGGATTATAAGTTTGAGAGGCTCCCTAATTTTTGCTACTCTTGCGGTAGATTAGGGCACAACGCAAATTACTGTGAAGAAGTCGAATTCAAAGAAGGGAAATCTGAAGCTGAGGATGAGTGTCTCTATGGCCAGTGGCTTAAAGCCGAAGTATAAGGTCACAGTCCTTTTATGAAGCTCTTTTATGGGAAGTTAAAGGAGGAGGATATAGAGGAGGAAATTATCTCTGAGACCCCAATACTTTCCCTCCAGATTGTGCCTTTTCAGGGTGAAGCCCTGCAACCTTTCTCTCAGCCCAACCATATTCAAGTAGAAAAGGGAAAGAACATAATGTTTGGGGATACAAGTATGCAGTCGCAGCAACAAGCCAAGAGGGGTGAGGACTTTATTCCAACCAATCTGCCGTTTCCAGGTCAGAGCAGTGGCTCTACCTCCCCTGATGTACAAATGCTCCCAGAAGTTGCTCAGAACAAGAAGCTTAAAAAGACGAAGAAAGCTGCTGCTAAGAAGAAACGTAGGTACAGCCCCTATGAAGCACAAATGGCAAACTCGCAGCTGCTAGATGAAACTCAATTGCTGGATACACCTATTCAAGTGGTGTCAGGAACAATGGAATAGGCTTTGGTGGCTAGCCCTAATAAGCCACCGGGTTACATATGAATATTATATGCTGGAATTGTCAGGGGTTGGGCAATCCCTTGACAATTCAAGCAATCAGAGCCCTTGTGGCTCAAGAAAAGCCCAATATACTATTTTTTATGGAGACCAAAAATCAAGAACAAGTAGTACTTCGGCTCAGAAGGTAGCTACGACTCCAGAACAGTTTTTTGGTAAATCCGAGGGGTATTGCCAAGGGTATGGCTATTTTTTGGGATGACAGAGTGTCATTAACAGTGGATTCAAACTCTGAATTCTTTTATAGATTTGGTGTACGTATTAGAGGAAACAAAACAATGAATGCGACTGACCTTTATACATGCACCAAATGAGTTCCAAAGAAGGCTAGTTCTTTGGGAAGATATGTACAACATTAGCCACTTGAATGATCTACCATGGGTCTGCATAGGAGACTTCAATGAAATCCTTTATCACTGGGAAAAAGTAGGGAAGCGCATGGCGGAACATTATTGACTCAATGCTTTCCGATAATTCATCAATGCTTGTTCTTTAATGGACTTGGAAAGTAAGGGATGTGCTTTCACTTGGACAAATAATAGGGATGGAGAAAATCATGTCAAGGAAAGATTGGATAGGGTATTGTGCACTATGGACTGGCGAATTTGCTTTCCACACGCTGAAGCATATGCATTGCCGGCAATAGGGTCAGACCATAGTCCTATTTTGTTATCTCTCTTTCCCGAGTTAGTGAAAAGGAAAAAAGACTTTAAATTTGAGGCTTTTTGGCTGGAAGATGAGGAATATGGAAACATCATTAAAAAAGTCTGGCACTCGGAAGAATTGATGAATGAAGATTTGCTGAAGAGGCTGAAAGTAGTATCATTGGCTCTATCTAAATGGAGCAACACAAAGTTCTCCAATGGAAAGAAGAAAATAGACCTTTTAAAGAGAGAGCTTCAGGACATCTCCAACAACTGACACTTGCATTGGGAAAGAGAGAGGGTGCAGTTTCTGAAAAATGAAATCGAGAAGATGTGGAGACAAGAGGAGATGTACTGGGGTATGAGATCGAGAGTAAATTGGCTCAAATGGGGAGACAAAAACACTAAATTTTTTCACGCCACAACAATTCAGAGGAGACAGAGGAACAAAATCTCCATGTTAAAAAATGAAGAAAGGGAATGGGTTCATGATATAACTCAACTAAAGCAGCACACATCTCAATTCTTCAGCAACCTTTTTCAAACAGTCGGCCCTCGAAATTTCCAGCCAACACTAGAGGACTATCCTTGTCTAGTAGGGGAGGACATGAACCAGATGTTGACAAAGCCAGTGACACTAAAAGAAGTAACTGAAGCAGTCTACCAGTTGGGATCTACAAAAGCCCCAGGACCCGATGGTTTAAATGGCCAGTTTTTTCAGCATAACTGGAAAGAGCTACAACAAGCAGTTTTCAGGGAGGTATAAAACTTTTTTCGCTCAGGGTATCTCAACTCAGAGGTAAACAGAACAAATATATCCCTCGTTCCAAAGATCCCAAACCCGGAAAAACTGGAACAATTTCGCCCCATAAGCTTGTGTAACTTTGCGTACAAGATTATATCAAAAGTCTTGGCAAACCGATTGAAAATATGCTTGCCAAACTTAATTTCTATTGAGCAAAGTGCCTTCATGAGTGGAAGACAAATTCAGGATAACATCTTAATTGTCCAAGAGGTGCTACATCAGTTGAGAATCAGAAAGAGAAAAACAAAGTTTCAAGCAGTGCTTAAACTTGATATGCAAAAAGCTTATGACAGAGTTGAATGGGATTTTTTAGAAACTTGCATGGGGAAGATGGGTATTAGTGATCAATGGGTGAAGTGGATTATGCAATGTGTCTCTACTGTGTCCTTTAGTGTCAAGCTAAATGGAGAGCCTCTACCCTATTTTCAACCAACAAGAGGAATTAGACAAGGTGATCCCCTCTCCCCCTATTTGTTCATCTTGGTGGGTAATGTATTATCTTTTTTGATGAAAAAGGCAATGGAGGACGGAAGTATAAAGGGGATCAAGCTGAATAGATTCTGCCCCACGCTAGCTCACCTCTTGTTTGTAGACGACTCAATCTTTTTCCTCGATGGAACGATTATGGAATGCTAGAATGTTGCAGCTGTTTTTAATCAATACTGTTTTGCGTCTGGGCAATCAATAAACTTAAATAAGTCAGGGGTATATTTCAGCAAGGATTGTCCACTAAGTTTGAGACAGAATATGTCATATGAGCTTAGAGTTCCAGAATTAGAGAAGACGGGGAAGTACATAGGGATCCCTTCAGACTGGGGGGCATCAAAAAAACATATGTTTGCCTGGATACTAGCAAGAGTAAACACGAAACTAGCAGGTTGGAAGGAAAATCTGATGTCAAAAGCTGGAAAAGAAATACTCATCAAAGCAGTGGTGCAAGCACTACCCCAATATGCTATGTCTATCTTTAAAATCCCTGTCTCCATTTGCAGGGCAATTGAAAAGAAAATTGCGTCTTTTTCGTGGAAAAATGGTGAAACACAAGCTGGACTACATTGGAGGAAATGGGATGATCTGAAACGAAGAAAGGATAGTGGAGGACTTGGATTCAGGGATCTAATGACTTTTAATGGGGCTTTGTTGCGAAAACAAGCATGGCGAATTACCCAAAACCCTTCCTCATTATGGACTCAAGTATTGAAAGGGCTATATTTCCCTAATTGGGATTTCTGGCATGCAGGGAAAGGGACCCGTCCATCATGGGGGTGGCTTAGTGTTCTGATGGGGAAAGCATCTATCCATCGTTCCATTATGTGGTCTGTAGGCAATGGGGAGCAGATTAACATTAGAGAAGACAAATGGCTTCATAGGGGAGTTATTGGGGGTCCACCTAATCGTGAGGAGCCTAAGAGGGTAGCTGAGTTAATTTTGCAGGAGGAGTCGAAGTGGAATGAATTGAAGCTACAACAGCTTTTTGATGAACAAATTGTCGATGAAATTCTTGCAATCCTACTGAGGTCACATGACACTGAAGACAAACTGGTTTGGTTAAATACCAAATCAGGATCCTATACAATCAAGAGTGGCTATAATAGAAACAAAGACCTTGCAATGAAACCAAACCCAAATCAGGCTTCTTCTTCATATCAAACCCCCGAAGCATTGTGCACAAAAATTTGGAAGGCAAACACAGAACCGAAGATCAAATTTTTCCTATGGGCGATATGTCAAAATGCATTACCAACAAAGGTAAATCTATTCAGAAGAAGTATTGTACCAGAACCGATGTGTGAGCTATCTCACCAACATCCCGAAACTATTGAGCATCTTTTTTTCCTCTGTCCATGGACGAAACAAGTCTGGTCCAATCCTTCACTGCAAATCAAGTTTCCCAATCAAGGTCTTCCAAGAATTGAAGAATGGCTCTGGAATTTTAGCGTCACAACTATACCTTTTGAGCTACTTGCGACTGTCCTTTGGCTTATTTGGAAATCAAGGAACAATTTCATATTCCGAAGACTGAAACCAAACCCAAATCAGCTGGTGAATTCAGCTCAGTTGAAGCAAAATGAAGCACAAGGAAGCAATTTAGGAAAAGGAAAAGCTGTTGAAGGCCAACACTTACCTCAAATTTGGCGAAATTCGCAACAGGGAGTCCTGAAGATCAATATTGATGCTTCCTTTATTGAAGGTTCAACGTCGGGGGTAGTAGCTGCTATGATGCGAGATAGCTATGGAAGAATGGTAGATGGTTTTGCAAAAACAGTGAGGGTCGACTCTGCAGCTCGAGCCGAGGTTAGTGCTCTTCTAGAAACGCTAGTCTTCTTCTCTGAACGGGCAAAGGATTGCCTTCTACTAGAGTCGGATAATTTAGACTTGGTTAAAGCTGTCACATGTGTAGATTATTTCAAGTGGGATATACATGTGCTTATTTTGAAAGCCAAAGATCTGTTGGAAAATTTTACTGATATTAAGTTGGCCTTTTGTAATAGAGAGTCCAACAAAGTGGCAGACTGGATAGCGAAGGCTCAAAGAAAAAATGTTCTGCCACAAAATTGGAAACTCTACCCCCCTCCTGATCTTTGGAGTCTACTTTGTGTCAATGCTTTGCCGTTGTACTCGCAAGCTAAGTCGTGAGAATTGTATGAATATGGTTCTTCTGATAAAAAAAAAAAAATCACCATGCTCGTTATTAGTATACTAATACAACACATGCTGACCGTTTCTCTTCCCTCTTGAATACAAAATTTGAACACATAAGTGGTCCACATAATTTTGCAAGGGCATGGTAATCATAAATAGTGTTCTGGCAACATTCGGGAACTTCGCTAGTACTTGTAATCATTATGTACTACTTCTCTTCCCAAAATGTTAATTTGCCTCTCGAGTTTGAATACTATGTACGACGTAGTTAGGGCTTGATAGTCCTGTTTATCTTTGTTCGCATTGATCAGCAATAGTGCATGTTCTCATTTTGTGTAGAATGGGGAAATAAATATTTGATGTCTCGTTATCTTTTATGATCTATATAGAAAACTATTTAGATATGGTCTATTTTGCTTAAAAGTGTCAACAAAGCACCTTTCAAGATGTGAATTGATATGAAAATCAACATTCGATGTGAAAGGTCTTTTGTTGATTCTTGGACAAGAAATGCGGATTGACAAGAAAATTAAAGGTACGAAGAATGAAGACAATCGCAACTAGCCATGTAAAAGGGTACTAAAATATAAAAATAATAGGAAGAAAATAGAATAGCTGGTGTTCATTGATTGATTGGCGGTCCATTCCTAATATTTATATCTACTAGCAACAATTAAAAACAATTATAAAGAAGGTAAATAATTTTTTACATGATTCGTAGTATTCAGTAATATGTATTTAAAAAATGGTTACCAAAAGTCCCACTACTCGACGATCATGGCCTCATCACTTACTCCACGTTGAGGGTTTCTTCTACAGCTTGCAATCCCTCTTCTTGACGGTTATAACAACCCATATTTCTCGGCCATTATCATTAATAGATTTCGAGATTCACGACTCTACGAATTGGTGATCGTGGTGGCTGAAATTGTTGGCCTTACAACTTGAACACTAATCCCACTCTTAATTTTTCGATCTTCGCTTCAACTTCGATTCTTTTGTCAACTGAACCAAATTTCACCAATTGACATTTCGTGGCTCAATATTTAGTAGTTTTCTCTTATATCGCCTGTCGGCAACTTCTAATCACCTTTGTCGATTATCTATAGTTGCCAACCAAAAGGACTTAGCAAATTTTAAGTTTGCTATGTCTTCTTATGGTCTTATCCAATTCGAGTCGACAGTTAAAGACTTAGGCAATTTTGGGTGTCAATGTAGTCAATTTTTTTTTCCGTTGCTAAAACTAGATATAGTCATTTGTTGAGTGTCTTATACGATCCCAGTTTATTTAGTGCTCATGTCTATATATTCGCATCTTCACATCGTCAAACAAAATTACTCTGTTTACAACGCATTTGCTCGTGGTTACGCGGTACCATTGTCTTGGCCACGGGGTTGCAGCAATCAAGAAGAACAATCTGTTATGAAAAAAAAAAGAAGAAATTTTGGAACCCCACACACTGCGGGAACGTGATAGATCTTAGACAAGGAATGGTAGAGTTTCTAATTAGATATCTGAAGTAAAGAGAGATCTAATTTTTCTACGGAAAGTGTGTTTATGGATTACTTTCCTTCCTCTGGTTTTCATACAAGAGGAAATTTTTAAACGGGGTCAATGTTCACCCACCATATGCATCAATGAATTCATGCAAACAGTTGTATCAATTAAGCCCACAAAATGATGGGAAAATGACAGAAATTGTATATATAATCTGGCCTAACGTAAAATATGATTCTTGAATTTTTAATTTGTTCAATATAGTCTTTGGACTTTCCATACATGTTCACTTTAGTGCCTGGACCATATGAAAATGTTCAATGTTATGTCTGAATTTGAATTAATAGAATGACAACGTTGAACATTTTCATATAGTTTAAGGATTAAATTGAATAAGTATCAAAAGTTTAGAGATCATATTGAACAAATAAAAAATCCAGTGCATATTGGATTAAAATTCAGGGATCACCTTGAACAAATTAAAAATTTCGGAAGCACATTATATATTGAGTTAAAATTTGGAACCATTTTTATCATTATCCCCAAAATGATGGGCTAGTAATTTACTGACATAGTAGGTAGTTTCCCAATTGTATAGCGTAGTTGGTAAAAGCTGTCCACTCATTAACTTTCCCAACTGACAAGCATTCCGTGCCCTTGACAACTTAAGATGATTATGTGTTTAAACCCTAAAGAAGATTACCAACTTGGTTTAATTTCCTAAATTCTATGTAGAAGAGAATGACCGGTGAAATCTGTTCAATCTAATGGTTGATTTGCGGCCAATTCTCACTATTTAATGGGAAAGTGGATCCAACTTCTGCTGCCCGTAACCAACATCAACCATCTTGCTAAAGTGAGCAAATTTGCTAATACTTCATTATAATTACATTAAGCAACTGGAATTGTATCAAGCAACAGTACTTAAAGCATCAAGAAAACGAAAATAGACCGAGCATAGTCGCATGCTTCAGCTCAAATCACTCACATTATTGACAAATTTCAGCAAGGAGGGAAGTGGGAGAGATGAAGAAGACAGTCAAGTGGAACTGAGGAAGGAAGTCGGAGAAGGCGGTACGGGGATATCCACGGTGCCTTCGAGCATCAGCAACACCTTCCTCATGGAGGGACGAAACGATGGCTCTTCCAGGACACACCACAATCCTATTTTAACCATCCTCTCCAGTTGCTTTGTTTCGACCTCCTCGGAGTCCACTAGCTTTGCCAGCTCACCGGCCTGAAAGCATCCATAAACCCATTCTTCGAGAACCGCTTCGTCCTCAGAGCGGCAGAAATCCAAGCTCCTCCGGCTGCAAATTATCTCCAGTAACACAATCCCGAAGCTATAGATGTCGGCTTTCACTGTCACGGGTCGTTTCTTGTGCCACTCCGGCGCGACGTACCCTCTGGTTCCCCGGATTCTAGTCATGGTCTTGGTCTGATCCGGCTTCAACATCTTTGACAGTCCGAAATCAGATATTTTCGCCCTCCCATTCTTGTCAATTAGTATGTTGTGAGGCTTTATATCGCAGTGGATGATCTGCGTCTCACACTCCTCGTGGAGGTAAAGGAGGCCTCTGGCTATATCGTGAGCGATGCCCATTTTTTCATCCCAATGAAGCTCTCTTTCGGGTGTAAAGAGCAGATCCGCGAGTGAGCCATTGGTCATATATTCATACACCAAAAGCCTGTTGGGTCCATCTTGACAATAACCGAGCAGGCAGACCAGATTCCGGTGATGAGTCCTCCCGATGATTTTCACCTCGGTTTGGAATTCGATGTCCCCATCGGAAGAGATGTTCTCGAGCCTCTTGACGGCTACCACTTTCCGACGATTCAGCAGCGCGCCTTTGTAAACTGTTCCAAACGCCCCCTTACCGATCTCATCCTTGAAATCCTTGGTCACTTCCTTGAGCTCCTCGTAAGTGAAGAGTCTCGGTCCAACATCCTCTATCGATCCGATGCTGACTCCATGCTCTAAATACATTTGATGTCCCGAAAGCCTGTTCCGGTAAACAAGGACCCCGAGAGAGACTAGAATTATCAACGCCAAAGCGATCAACGAAACACTCACGACCAAAATGTCAATCCTGATCTGCTTTTTGATTCGCTTCGGTGCATTTACATCCGATGTAGCTGTACTCAACTTGATGGAAACTGTGTTCGAATTGGCAAGGTCTCTCCTGCCGAACCTCAGAGGGAGGCCTTGCTTTTTACACACACCGTTGTTGTATATCACAACAGCGCAATTGCAGTCGGGCAAACATGTGGATTGACATTCCTCAATGGTTGGTAATTGCTGGACAGAGTATGAATCGTCTTCCCACACGGTGTTTGCAATCGGCTGGATGGTGTAGTCAGCGTTTTCACCCGTTCTTTTGCAGCTCTCTTGGGTGAAGTTCCTTTCGCAACCTGACATCCAGTTTCCCTCTTGGACCGGTGCAAATCCCGGAAGGCACACACAGCTGACTTTCGGGTCGATTGTCACACAGTACATGTTGAGCCCGCATATCCCCTTCGGGCTGCATAGGTCACCTGTGGAATTCCAAACAATAGACCAATTTGCTTTCATAATCGTGTCATAAGAGTATAATCTGAAAATACCGTCCACATCGATCCTCGCGAGATACATCCTGTTGTTACTTGGGAGTCCTTTCCGGGTGACATTGCTCACATATTGACCGGCGGGGTTCAAGAGGTAGAGAAAGCCATCACCGTCCATATGGAGCGTGATGTTGTCTCCTATACCGCCTGTCTCAGTCGACCAGTACGCGTAGGCGGGTTCGTCTATCGAGTTCACTGGGTACTGCACGAGATTACCATCATGTTGCATCTTGATACGGAACACACCCGATGACTGATCGGACTCCGAAGCACTCGACACCAACTGATGGCCCGCAGAGAGATTCTGGCCTGGCAAGAGGCTGTCCGTGGGAGAGTCGAAGGTTTGCCAGATTATGCCCCGGTTGGAATCATAAAGAACGAAATTGCCAGAGTCAAGCATCGAAGCCGAAATGGCAGATTCAGCAGGAACAGCGACGTCTGTGAATTGTCCTGGCAACCATGACTGTAGGATCAGCCTTCCGTCAGTTGTGAATTGCAGGGTGGCGTTGCTTGGAAATGGAGGGCTGTCTCGTTTGAAAGTCCAGACCACGGTCTGCAGCGGGATTCCCGCTAGGAAAACTCCAAGGCCATAGCCATTGCCTCTCTGGTAGAAACCAAATGCGTAGAAACCCGAAGCTGAGAGCCAGGATGAGTTGGTTTTGGGCATCAGAGCCGAGCCTCGGCTTACGTTCATCTGTTTCTGCGAAGCTGAAGTTGCGAACATCGACACCAGGACAAGGAACAACAAGGCAAGAGCCATGAATGAGTAGGGAATGGCTATGTGACCGATGTTTCTGGTCTCAGTCTGCTCTTATCAGTACTCAAACTGATGATTTAGATTAGAACTGTTCTGTGTCTTAAAGGCCGGACATTCGAACTGAATCTGACTCGAGGTTACTAAGTCCAAGTCAACTGAGTAAGGACCGGGATGGTTGTTTTCTGATGGAAGAGGAGGATTTATATACGATGACAACTTCAAAATTAATTATTGAATCTTAGTTTGGTCTGACTTGGGCCAGTATTGATGTAATGTACAATGAATATGTTTTATTTTCGGTCATCTGCAGGTTCAAATTATAGCCCAGGTTGCTAATTCAGTAGGGTCTCTAGGTCAGTAGATATTTCACTTCCATGACTGGACATTGGTTCTCTCTCTCTCTCTCTCTCTCTCTCTCTGGTCCCTGGCTCTTTGGGACTGACCCGTTCAAGCAAGTTTTTAAAGTCAAGTCTTCATTTTGTCTTGAGTTGTCAGTGTGTGCTTGAAAGAGACATTGGCCAAACGCCAAAATGCTATCCCGTGAACTCATTTCGTCTGGAAGCCCTGATATTTTTCTCGTGAGACTTTCATTGGTCGTGTGTCGGTTTCATGCCGAGTCACTTTCCTAGAATGGTAAACACAAACATGGACTAGGACTAGGATTTTCAGCGATGGTCCTTTCGCATTGTTATTGCAATAGCATGCGTCGAAAGTGATTAGCGCTGATGAATCCATCCTTTGATAGATAGAATTCTTGCGTATGATTTTTATATGGAACCTTGACTAAGGTTTTTGTGGCTTATATCAACCTAAATCCTGCTTTCGTCACTATTGACGAGCCTCTTTGGGTTGATTTTTTTATGGGTACTTAAATTACGAGTTTGAATTCCCGAGCATAGATGTAGCCAGGTGGGTAATTCATGCTCCACTTTATATTAAATTAGGCTTAATATTGAGAGGGGGATGGAAGTGAGAGACGTGGATGATTCCAACATCACATCTTCTCTCACTTGACAATATCACATGCAAAATTCGTTGGAGGATTTGCAGTTGTATCCTCTCTTTCGGTATACTCATCTTCGTAATAAAACGACAAATAGCAAAGGTATTAAACTATGTCTAGAAATACTTGTAAAGTTTGATCCGACCGCTTGATTTTTCTGTCACCAGCACAACAAAATATAACGATCACCCTACGAATTTTATAAGCTTGTTTGGTGAACTTTCATCTCATGAAAGTAGGTTTTGATCCTTTCGATCATATGTTTCTCAATATAAGTCACGGAAGAGATAACGATGCATATGGTTTTGTGTGGAGTAAAAGACATTACAACTTGCTAATCAGAAAGTGCTGGCAAATATGTTTAACATGGGCTTCTATGAAATTTGAATGTAAGCAATACTGGGTTTGAGCTAGTTTTATCAACACTAAATGGGGTCCGGCGCATTAAGCACGACAACTTAGCTAGGAGTGATCGGTTCCCGATTCCCAAAATTGGGAACCAGAAACAAGATCGGTCCAATGGAGCTGGTCACTTTTTTTTTTTCCCCACCACGATGAGACAGAGTGACAAATTTTAAGATATTGACGGAAACGACGATGAGTGAAGAGTCATTGTAGTGCAACAATAAGGAGAAAGCATTGTACGTGGATTTTGTTCACATTTTACTAATTTTTAAAGAAATAAAAAATATATATATGTAGTCGGTTTGGTCCGGTTCCTCATAACCGGTAACTGGACCGCCCGGACACCGGTTTCACTTTTAAGAACCGGGAACCGGATCAATATTCCCGAGAACCAGACCAAACCGGCCAGTTCAGTCCAGTTCAGGCGGTTTTTGATTCGGCCGGTCAGTTTTGCACACCCCTAAACGCGGCAATCTAACGTTTAAGACTTGGATTTCATCATATGAATTGTGGTGGAGAGGGGATCCACATTTGTTTATCAAGGCGAAGCTTCAATTGTGTCAAAATGATGTGGTTCGATTGAGCATCCAATGGTCAGTCGTGGATCCAGGATTTCAAATAAAAAGAAAGTTCCTTTTGTCAGAGATAAAAAGAAATTTGTAATTAAAAAAATCATCTAAACATTAGTAATTAACTAGAATAAGAGTTAATAACGGAAAACTAATCGGTAACTTAATTATCGCCCAAATTGCTAATTCAATAAGGCCTCTAGGAATGGGGAAAAAGCGATATCGGTAATTCAATTTATTGCAATTAGTGCTTTCGTATTCATATTCATTTTATTTTGAATAAAGCGGGATATTAAGACCAGTTTTTTTTTATTGCAATCTCTGGCTAGCTGTTAAATATGATGGCCCGATTTATTTAAATGTCAAGCCTGGGAAGTCATTAAGTTAGTTTGTTATCCGAGTCTATAGCATCGTTTGGAACGTTCATTTTGCAAGCCGAGGCCCCCAAAAATTCATGGAGCTACATCATTAGTTTACTTGGTTTGATTATATTACGTTGTACCGACATTTGATTGCCAAATCTTGCGATGATAGCGCTTCTAATTACAAAATTTGAGATAATTAAGTGAGTAATAATAGTTTCCAACTTGAGAAATAACATACTTCTACATGTCTCGCATTCACATTTACGCACCAAAGTTTGTCCCTTTTTCTTCTCTTCTTTTTCCAGCTTTGACCAACAAGTTGTCCACTGCCGTCCGCAATGAGTGAGAGCGTCTTCTATGGTTGATCCATTCCATACGGTGCGGGAAAGCACTCTCTATTTGTTTCGCGAAAATTGAATGATTTGAAAGATGTTTTTTTTTTGTTAGTGATCTCTTATTTTGCGTACAAAAATGAATGAAGAAGAATATTTTCATCGTCCGCGATTATGTTTAGATATAAATTGTTGTTGATAATGAAAGTATCTTCCATTAACTAATTTCCAATGTGATAATGACATAAACAATCCCTATGTATAATTTGATCTCCAAACTTTTAATTTATTTAATGTGATTCCTAAACTTTTAATTTATTCAATGTGGTCCCTGAACTTTTGGTACATGTTCAATGTAGTCTATGCACTATTTGAAAATGTTCAATGTAGTCCCTGAACTTGAATTGATGAAAAGACTACATTGAACATTTTCATGAAGTTCAGGGACTAAATTGAACATGTACCATAAGTTCTTGGATAACATTGAACAAATTAAAAATTCAGAAACTACATTGCACATTGAGTTAAAGTTCAAAGACCACATTAAATAAATTAAAAGTTCAGGACCATATTGCACATTAAGCCAAAGTTTATGGATTATATGTGTCATTTTCCCACTTCCAAGCGATACAAGCAATCATTTTTTGGAAAATATTTTTCAAATTATTCATTTTCTGTGAAATAAACGGCGGCTCCGTTTACTTCACAGAAAATGAATGATTTGAAAAATATTTTCCTAAAAATAATCGCTTGTATCTATTGAAATAATTAGTCAATGAGAAATATTTTAATTATTGACAACAAATTATGTCTCAACATTTTCGTGGTCAATGAAAATATATTTCGTTTGTTCATCTTTGTACGCGATACGAGCGATCCTTTTTAGAAAAATATTTTTCAAATCATTCATTTTCCGCGAAACAAACAGAGTCTTCTTTTGTTTTCTTTTACATTAGAAAGTCATTTTCTTCTTGCGAGCACTTTTCTTGCGGAAATTGCATGCACCAACGCCTTTTATTTCTCCAACGTCACACGAGTTTTACCGTTCTACAATTTTATTTTATAAATGAAATTAACGTGAATTGCTATTGTTGTCGTTTTCATCTTTAGCTATATTAGAGTGGTGTATGTGTGATTTGTTAGCATTATCACTTTAATCTTTAGCTATATCAAAGTAATGTAGGGCCTTCATCGGGCCAACACATATCAGTCCATAAAAGACTCCCATGTAGGGCCTTTACTAATTTCCCTTCTTTAATATATTAGATCTAATCTTTTTTATTTCCTTTTTATTGTCTTACCAATATATTTTGGAGACATGATCTTGTCACGAGCCTTCAATACATAGTCATATTTGTGGACAAAGAAGATAAGTAGGTAAGCTAAGTAGGACAAGTATAATATATAAATATATATGTGAGCTGAATCGACTCAAAGTTACTAAGCTCGATTCGACTGTGTGAAGACGAGTGATGGTTGTTTTCTAAAGGAAGAGGTCGATCTATAAATGTTAGGACCAGTACCAAATCAATTATCCATTCTTGCAATCTTAATTTATTTCTGGTTATCCTTTAGGTTCAAAATTACCGCCCAAATTGCTAATTCAATAAGGCCTCTGGATCAGTAGTTATTTCACTCTCATGACTGGACATAGCCATAGGCTCTCTCTCTCTCTCTCTCTCTCTCTCTCTCTCTCTCTCTCTCTCTCTCTCTCTCTCTCTCTGGGGTTACTGACCAGGGAATGAGTTTTTCTTGATTTAAGTTTGAAAGTGAAGACGATAATGACAATGTGCTCTTTGATGGCCCTTGGACGGTAGGTAGCTCACCAGTACATTACATTACGGTGAGGCAACGGCAATGGCAACCAATTTCGACCCTAAGGAAGAAGCTTCTATTGAGACAGCGGCAGCGTTATTGCAATTGAAGTCGAAACATGGTTTCATATTCATTTCATTGTAACTTGGAAAATGTTGGATATTAGGACTAGACTGTTACAGAATTGGTAATATTGAGGAAATGGCAGTCTATCGCTATCTATTATGAAGGCGACCCTAACCTATTTCACACGATCTCTCATACAAACGACGTACGTTCAAGTTTGGTTTGTCAAGTCTGTAATCAAAGTCAAGTCAAATACTCGGCGTGCCAAGTGATGTCACTATTTTTGTTATAAAACGGACCGGATCTTGACAATTATATTAGGACACAAGATTATCAAAGAACAATAATACGAGCAACAATAAGAGGATACGAGAGATTTACGTGATTCGGTCTGAACTGTCAGTAACTACGTCTACGGGGAAAACCAGCCACGAAAAATCCACTAATCAATTAGAGAATTACAATATTACAATCTCACAGAAACAAGTGTTTTGCAAAATAGGATCTTGCAATTTAAATCAATGCGAAATCACCATAGAAATAAACGAAAAATAATAAGGACACCAGATATTTACGTGGTTCGAATCGAGTGTCGATACCTTCTCCATGGAGAGAACTAATAACAAATAATTTATTATAATTG